ACATAATGAACAAACTAATTGAATATTTGATTCATTTAATTTATCAGAGGGAGAAAATGGTAATAGTGCAGCTTTCTATATAATTAAATTCTCAATTTGTTTGTTTACATAAACAAATAACAAACGTTACAATAATATCTAGGACAAATTCCAAATTCTTGTTTTTTATATTTCTTTTTCATTTTCTTTAGTCCTTCTTCAATAACAATGAATCTGGCATGAATAAGTCCATATAGTATTGATGCCCCATTATAAAGAAACTCATCTTCTTGTGTAATACTTTTTTTCTTTTTATCAAGAAGATATTCTCTTGCTTCTTTATATCCATGAACTTGATTTTCTAATCCATAATAATTGAATGAATCTTCAATAAAACTGTTGTCTATACGAACATAATATTTATTTTTCCCTTCTTTAAGAAACGCTTTAACAAATCCGGGAATGTCTTTATTTTCTTTAGATGACATGATTTTATCTCTTTGAGTTCTCTTTTTTTATCTGAAACCTCTTGAGGGTTGTATTTTTATTTTCTTCTTAGAATTCATTTTTCCTTGATTTTCATTTTATCTTTAATTCCCCTAAATCTTTTCCTTTATTTAATCCTTTTTCTTTATTTTTATTCTTTGGTTTTTTCCTAATATCTCTGTTCAGATTGATATATTTTACGAGAATTATTCCTTTCTTGATTCTTTGAAACAGAAATGTTAATACAAAATATGTCATAATAATCTTTTATTTATGAAAATTTTGGTTTAGATTTTTTTCATTTCAATAAAATTTTCATTTTTGAAATATAATAACTTTACTATAAACTTTACTATAAAAAATGTATTCAATAATTTTTTATTTTATTAAAATTATCGATATTTTTTGAAACAGAATAAATAATTGATAATAACTTATTCAATAAACATAAACTATTTTATTTGATAACAACTAACACTTTATAATACCTTCTTTGAAAGGGTGTGAAGTTATTTGATATTTTATTTAAATATGACTGAATTCTTATTACTATTAGTACCATTTTTTCATTAGTCTTCTATAAGATTTGTGCTATATAATAGAACATATTAATCCTTTTTGTATAAAATCATTCACAGTGAGTCAATTTCTCTTTACAATTTATTTTATGAAGAAAATTACAAGAAAAAAATCAAATGGGATATGTAAAAAGATTGTTAGTAGCTGAAGATAGCAAGAAATGGAATCTAAAAAAGAAAAGATTCAATAAGATATTCTATAACATAAAGAAGGCATACGATTCACAGTATCATCAATGGTTAATATATTCATTAAAATATTTTAATATTAATAATGCCATATGCAATTTAATTGAATGTATGTGTAATAGATGGTGAATTAAGATGAAGTATACATACAATAATAATTTAGAGTATGTCAAATTAAAATGTGCAATATTACAAGGGGATTCCCTCCTTTGTTATTTATTATCTAACAAAATATCATATCAGATAATTAAATGATATTGATATTAATTAATCAAAGTAGATCACACTTTATACGTGCTTGATTTAAAAATCATGTGTGATTTGAAGAAAGTAATTGAAGTGTTCAACCAAAATATTATTGATGTAATTAAATGAATAATGATTGAAATAAATATTAAAAAATATTGAATAATTAGAAAATGAAATATTATAATCAATGATAATATGATTGAAATCACAGTTGTAGATGACTCTAATTCATCAAATATCATTGTGTATTTCAATAAGAGAAGAATGATGATGTAAAATGTATTAATAAAATAGAAAATGATATGATAGATAAAATAGATTCATCAATAAATTGAATGAGAATAATAGAAATTACATCAATACAATTAATATGGAAGTTATCAATATTTTCAGATAGTTGCATCTATGATCCATTGACCAATCACTAAATTAGATAAAATTTATCTATACATTATAAAGAAGATGCAAGATGAAAATATCAACTCTAAATCATTAAGTAAAGATTATACATTAATAAAGATAAATTAATTGATTGATTAATGTCATTAAGAGATGAATATGAATTAGAATTAATAAGAACAATAATGTATTATGAATGGAAGATAATGAAATAAGAGAAATAATGAAAGTGAATAAGAAATGAATTTGGAAGAGATTTTATAAAACATGTGAGAAGAGAATTAATAAAAATGAAATTAATGAAATATATTTGTTGTCATAAAATAAGAATGAACTATCTATAATAATAAAATATTTAAATAATAAATTTAATGAAATATATATTAATAAATGAAAATTAAATGATGTAAGTAGTCATTTAATAAAATACTGTGAAAATGAAATGAATGATATGAAATTAACAAGTAAAATATTGATGAATATTAATATAAAAAGAAATTAATATAAACAATTAAAATTAAAGCAAGAAAATGATACAATTGTATGGATTAAGAAAGTATTAATTACATGAAATAAAACTTTAAAGTGGTTAGTATTTGTAATAATAAAATATCAATAAATGAACACACACTATTAAATTGTATTGTAAATAAGAATGTACAAATAGAGAGGTATGATTTAATAAATAAATATATACGGAGAATAACCAATATAAAATAAATATAATAAGTGATAAAGAAATATAGAATAAAATGAAATTAACATTCAATAAAAATGAAATGGGTAAATTCCAAAGAAGAATTGAAAATAATGAAGTGTTCATTGTATTGAATCAATAAATAATTAATAAAAGTGAATATTTCATAAAATACCAACCACTTATATATAAGATAGATATGAATAACAAGCGATAAAAAGATTAATTTAACATTTATTAATAAACTAGAAATTGATAGAAATGATCAGATAAAATAATAGAAACTAATATACTAAAATGAAAGTAATTCCAATAATAACAATAAATGGGCTAGTCAATAAAGAGTCTATAAGGGTTAAAAGAGCAATGTATTATAAAACAATATGACATAATGATAAAAGATATTATGATTAAGAGTATGAAAAGTATAACGAAGTGTCGTGATGTGAATATAGAGATATAGAAATACTTCATGAACAAGGCCCTAAAGAGAGTGAAAGTAATAATTTCAAATAAATAAAATGAAAAATCAATATCTACTGAAACTTAATTTAGTAATTTTTAGTTATTTAGTAACCAATAAATAAATTTTGCTATTCAGAAATTATACTCAAATTTAATACAAAACTATAAAATTTACTTTATGTCACCAGGAGATAATCCCGTACGAGACACCCCTGTTTCTCAAGGCAACAAAACAACTCAAGAGTTATTCTTCGAAAATATCGAGCACATAGCCCCAGCCCCATTGCCACCATGTTGTACTAGTCCACCTGCCCAACCCCCACCTCCAGTGCCATTACAATAACTAAATTAGTTCTTTCACATTAATTATAGCCGTTAACATTTTCTCAGTAAAACAAAACAAACCACAGTTTATATTTACAACCAATAAATAATTATTGGTTAAGTTAAAAGTATTTTAAAAAAGAACTAAGTCAAACTCAAAAATCTTTGTATATGTTAAAAATGTATGCGAATAACATAATTTATGCACACAACATTTGTCCTATTTGTTAGTGTATGACTTTAAGATGAAACCACACTCTCTTATTTCAGAGAACAATTTTTTGGTCTTTACCAAGTTGACATAGTTATAATGATTTTTTTAAGATAGTGATACACGTCTAAATATTTTGTAAATCCCTTATCTTTCAAAGGTATTGAATGGAAGAAATGGGTTAGAAGTAAAAATACGAAAATAGTTGTTAATTAAATTAAGATTTTCCTTTTTCATTTAAAATTTACCTTTCCATAGACCTTCATAACAAATACTAACAAAGACCTTTAGTACAAAATCGAAATACACCTCTGAAAAATGTTCTTTTCTTTAGTCATAGAAATTATTCATTTGCATTGATTCATTAAGACTTCTTGAAAAACCATCATAATAGCTCTTCAATAAAACCTGTATTTATCAGATAAATGATTACAATTAAATTAACCAATAACATTTAACTTAATAACTCACCATGAAAAAGTATCCCTGATTCATTCTAATCAACTAAATTATTATTAAATGAGAAATATACTCAGTAAGACTTAACAAGTATAATTAAGACAGTATTTCAAATAATGTTTGAGGTTTAACTTAAATTAACTAATAAATAATAGTAATACATAAACACCAATAAGTAAATTTCAGTTAATAATAACAAGCAAAATAAATAAAGATAATTAATAAAATAATATCATTTAAACAAGAAAATAAAAATATAACTGTTACAAAATATTTAAATTCATTAAGAATAAGGTATTGTTATGTAAATGGAGATTATAATTAATGATCATATATTCTTTTAAATAGTAATAAGAATAAAAGGAAGTAAATTATAACAAAATAAATTAAAAAAAAAAAGGAAAAAAAAAACAAAATTAATTTAATAAAATGAATATAAAAAAATTTTAATAATAAATAAATTAAAGAAAAAGAAGAAAACATTGAGTTATGAATAAAATTATTATTTATTATTTAATTTTTTAATCTTTCTTAAGATTCTTTTTTTCTTCCTTTTTTTGTTTCTTTGCTTGTTTTTCTCTTTCTTTTTCTTCTTTTCTTCTTTGTTTTTGAATTTCTTCTTGTTCTTTCTTTCTTTTCTTTTCATCTGCTTCTTCAACAGCTTTAGGTTGATGATATAATTTATCAATTCCTTTTTCATATTTTTTAATTGTTGCAATTCTTTTTTCCATTGAAGTATTTGATTCAGTAGCACAATCAACATCAGGTAAATCAACAACAACAAATTTCTTTATTCTATATGATCTTGGTAATGTTTGATTAAATGCTTCTACTTTTTGTCTTAAGAATGTACCAAAGAATGCATCACTTCTAATATTTTCTTTACTTGGACATTTTTCTTTTAATTCTTCTTTTGCTTTATCATAATTAATTTCAAATAATGCTGAAATGAATTTTTCATTTTCTCCAAGTATAATACATTTAACAATTGTAGGAATAGTACATAACATTTTTTCAATATAATGTGGTTCAATCATTTCTGCATTAGAAGTAATTATTAATGGATATTTATATCCATTTGGTTGATAAAATTCTTCTTTTTCTTTACCAAACTTAGAACTTGTTGCCATTAAATATGTTTTAAATCCATTTTCAAATGGATAAACATGTTGACTTCCTTCATTACAATATCCACATGATACAACACTTCCATTTGCAATAATTTCTCCTTCTCTTATTTCAATATTACATTCTTTTACTTTACATCCATAACTTCCTGGAACATATAAATTTTTCTTTTGCATTAAACAAAATCCTGTTGTTTCTGGTAACATTAATCCTTCAAATACTGTAATTCCAAGTCCAAGACATTTTGCTCTTGATTTTTCACTCATAACTCCCCAACATGCACAATAACATTTATGTAATCCAATAGCTTTTAATGCTTTATTATAAACAAGAGTTCTTGAAATTCCATATCCTTTTGGTTTAGATTCTCCAACTCCTTGTTTCATTTGTCCATCAACTCCTTTTTTAGCTGCAAAATTTTTAGCTTTACGAGTAAGAATAGTAGATTTATCAATTTTATCACTAGCATAATTTGATATTTTTTCATATATTCTTGGTGTTCCTAACATAAATTTTGGTTTATGTTGTTTTAACATTTTCATAAATTTAGGTCCTCCAAATTGAAGATCTGTTGGTTGTGCAATAATTACATGTAACTCTGCATATAATGCAAAATACATTCCATATATTCTTTCTCCAAATGCTGATTGTGGAAGTACTTCCATAATAGTCATTTCTGATGTTAATCCTGGATCATTTGATTTTAATGCTGCACAAATATTTGAATGTGTCCAAATAACTCCTTTATATCCTTGTCCATGAATTAATGGAATAATTTCTGCTACTGTTTCTCCTTTTAATTCTTTTAATTGTTCTTCAAATGTTGTTTTATCTGCTTTTTCATTAAAGTAAACACTCATTGAACAAAGATTTTTATCTTTTCCAACATCAGTTCCAACAATGACAAGTTGTAAGTTTTCATGTGTTTTTTGAACTTCTTTAAAATTATCAATAATAGTATTATCAATAAATGCAACATCTGCATTTATTAAATTAACAATCGCTTCAAATCTATATGTTGGTAATGTTGGGTTAACATAACAAACATATCTTCCTGTTAACATCGCTGCAAATCCAATAGAATATGCATTTTCACTATTTGCCATTGAAATAATAACTGCTTTATGTGTTTGTTTTAAAAATCCACATGCAAATCCTTCTACATCATTAATAAATTCTTTCCATGTTTTTTCTCTTATTTTATTTCCAAGAACAGTATATGCTTTCTTTTCATATGATTTAGCTTTATTATATAATGTTGCTAATGTTTCGTTATTATTAACTAATCTCTTTTGTTGTTCTTCTGTTAATTTTCCTTTAAAATTACAAATTTCTTCTTCTCCATTAATAAATGGTGAAATTGGTTTGGAAAATGCTCTTGGTGGCTCTTGAACTTCTTTATGTTCTTCTGATTCATTTTCTTCTTGTGGAGATACACTTGATGGTTTTGCAATTTCTACTGGTGGTATATCTGGTGAACTAGAAGCAGAAGGTGATCCTCCAATTTCTTCAACAGTTAATTCGGCTGGTTGTGCAATTGGTGTTTCTGGTTTTTCTTCTACAACAACAGGTCTTGGAGATGGTGTTGGCTCTTGAGAAACTGGTGTTTCTACTTGTTGTAGTTTTTCTTTTTCATTTGACCTTACACTTGAAGATGATGACATCGTTGATTTTGTTGATTGTGAACTAGATTGAGAGTGTTCTGAATTGTCTGACATAAATGAATAATTGAATTCTTAGTTAGACTATGACAAGTTCTTAAATCCCTCAAAAGTAAAAGTTTATTTTGGTTGTAATTGGTGAGTTGAAATTCCTTGAAATTTGCCAATTTCTTTCTTTTTTCCAACTTAATCGCTTAAAATCCACTTTTTTTACTTCTCTTTCATTTTAAAATGCTACCATTTTCAGTCGTTCATACTTTGAAGTTTATCCATATTCTTTTTCTACTTTATTAAATCGGGAATATACCTTAATTGTTTTATCCTTTTTAAATGACACGTTTAGATGACGTTGTTTTTTTCAATTTTATTATTTCTTTATAATAAAAATATTATTTTCTTTTTTTTAAAGTTACTCTGAACCTTTTTTCAAGAATACTTATTTTTAGAATAATTTTTACCTAAAGTCATTTCATCCTCACTTTTTTCTTTTTTTTTTTTGTATTTTTATTTTTTCTCACTATTTTTTATTTTTTGTAAAATGAAAGTTTTATATTTAAAGACTTCATAATCGTCATTCGATTATTAATGCAAACAGATCCTTTCTCATCCAGTATCAATGAAGATAGATTTACTACTCAAAATCTCCAAAATGCACAAGAGAATTATTCCCAAGAATATATGAGCAGTACTTATTATGATGGACAATTTGTAATAAAACCAGTTGAACAACCAAATACTCAAATCTACAATTACAATCTAAGTGCTCAAGAGATAGGTTCTAAAGGGGACTCTCCTATACTACAAAACCAACCATCAGAAGAGGTATCTGGTAATTGCTGTGGAGAAGATATTTTACAAAACATCGAAGTCATTCAGAAATTAATCAATGAGTTTAAAATTTGTTTTGCGAGCCGTGGTGAAGCTCTAACTCAAAAGATTTTCAGTCTTATGTTAAAAGTTCTCTCTGAAATGGTTTCTGTGATAAACGGTATTCGGTCACAGGAATACCCTTCTTCAATACTTTTTAATGAAACTGGTAGTTCAGAAAAGACTGAATTTATTGAAGATGATTATAGTAGTTCAGAAAAGACTGAATTAACTACTGATAATCAAACTAATAATAGTTCAAATGATACTACTACAGAAGAGGCTAATGATATTGACGATACCACTAACGATGATGAACTTAGTGATGACAGTATTAAATCGACTAGTACTAATACAAAGATCTCTAAACATAAAGCCATTGCAAGTGTGCCAACAAAAACATTAAAAGATTCATTTAACGTTATAGCACCTATTCGTATGAAAAAGGTTGCTGAAATGATTTCTAAAAAAGAACCACAAGAGCTATTCTGCTACTCGACAGCAGACAAAACAATTAAAAACAAAGAGGTTAGAAAGCAAATAATTAATGCAATGACAAGTGGTAATGATATATCTTTGTTTATTCTTTCAGAACATACTTGTGTTGCTACATTCTCAAGAAAAAAAGCTGTGGCAAATGATGATTGGAATCAGGATGAAATGTTTAGACTTTACCAATTTATGAGGAATGATAAAGAATGTTCTTTAGTGTTAGAGAATGATGAAAAGAAAAGTTATAATTTTTGCGGGGACTCTCACGGTGATATTCTTAGGGTCTACTGTGCGTTTTCTATTACGGAAACATTGGACATAAATTTCAGACCTGATGATGAAGATTTTGATCTGCCTTATGAGGTTGTATCAGGTGATGAAGGCGTTAAAGACGTTAAAAGTCTTGAGGGTAACTCAACAGAACATAGAGAAAAAATTAAACAAATACTTATCGTAAAATGGGTAGACTCTAAACAGTCTTCAAATAAGTAAGTTTATATTAACACATTAATTATTTTAATAATAACAATGGTTTAGTTTTAAAGAAGTTTTTCAATCAAAGATATTCAGTACAAATAAAAGATAGTATAACTAAATGATGTTATTTTATAAATAATTTTTTTTAAATTTAAAAGTTTTTCGTCTTAAAAAATTCAGATTTAACATAATGGAAGGTTTGGTAACTTTAAATTTCTATATTTTATTTCATAACCAATTATTAATTACACTTTAGAAGTACAACTTAAAGAAGTTACTAACTTACCTTCAGTTGTTGGTATTCAAGAACATCAAATTTATAAAAATGGAAGGGTATTAGTTAAAGATGGTCATGTTATTTTTGATTTTTGTAACACAGGAATACTATTTAAGACAATTCAGCAAACTTTGTTATTAATTCATCTCACTGGGTTCGTAAGATTAAAAATTAGAGTAGGTGACAGTATTGTTACTCAAGTAATTTCTATGAGTCCATTCGAAAGTAAATACACTACTCTTGAACTACCAGGAAATAAAGTTATTCAATTAACTAAAGTTACTGAAGCACGTTCGAGTAAAGTTGATATCGTTGGTATTATAACTGGAAGTATTGAGGCTATTCACAAAGAAAAACTACCACGTATTGAGTTTATTGGAGATTCTCTTACTTGTGGGTATGGAAACATTGGATATAACTCTGAATTTGAAACTGATAGTTCACAGACTTGGTGTGTAGATATTGCAAATTATCTTCATAGTGATTATATGACTACCTCATGGAGTGGTATTGGGGTGTTAAAAAGCAATCATAATGTTACTGCTAATCAATTACCTATTATAATTCATCGTTGTATTGCAACAGATGAAACAAGTCATTGGAATATTGGTGATTGGAATGCAAATTATGTGTTTCTCAATATTGGTACAAACGATTATGCAATAGAAGCTGGTAGTGCATTTGACCTTAATTTTAAGAATGCAATGAAGGAATTAATTCAATTATATTTCAATGAATATGGACCCAATCTTCTCTTCTTTATTGTTGAAGGACCTATTATTTCAGGTCATGGAAAAGAATATATAAAAGAAATATCATTAGAGTTTGTTTATACAATGAAGAATGTATTTTATATTGAAGCCTTTATTGATAAAAATAATCCTTTGTTTTGGGGTTTTAAAAACCATCCAAGTGTAGAAGGGCATCATCAAATGTCACGACAAATTATACCTCAGCTAGAAACTATTCTTCATAAATTATAATCAGTATTTTTGATAAATTAAATAATAACAAAAAATATTTTTATTTTAATTTAAAAAATATTTTTATTGATAAGATATTAAACTTACAACAATTTATTATCATAAATATTTATAATAATTGTCTTAAAAACTTATTTCACATATTTATAAGATGTTTTATCAAAATATCTTTCAACATTATCCCATTTTCAAAAGAACTTTACTTCTTCAAACAAAAACATTTGTTTAATTTATTTATTTATTGTTATAAAATATGAATTAATATTATGTAGTAATAACTATGATATTAATTTTATTGAAACAATATTACAATCATTCAAATTTCAAGAATTACATTTTTTAGTAGAAAATTAAATTATGAGTATTGTATATTAAAAATATTTTATAAAATAATAAAATATACATTGAAAAATAAAAAAATTAAATTTTTATCAATTTAATTCAATAAAAAAAGTTCATTATTAAAGTAATGTAAATTAAAGATGAATCTTTCTTTTGAAAATAATGATGTAAATGAAATAACCAGTCAGTATTTGTAATAAGAATGCAATGGCATAAATGAACGTAGGAGTTGATTCAATGTTTTGTGCTTCTTTCATTTTTAACTCGAATTTTGCAACTTTATTTGCAGCACTTTGGGCATAGGTAGAGATTTCATTTGTCATACTTTGAATTGATTGAGTTTCTTCTTCATGAGATTTGATTTTATTTAAAATAACTGATGTAATTTGTGAATCAAGTCTATCAATTTATTTAACAATTAACTTAAATTAAATAACTCATAAAACAACAAACTCTCTATTTGATTGTTGTGCAATATGACCAAGCATATGTGATATGTACCCAATCCCTCGTTGATTTTCTGAATCAATAATATTATATTGATGGCTCATTCTCATTACTTCTCCAAGTGCTTGATAAATCCTTACGTAAGCATTGGATAGTTCATGTGGACTTTTGTCAAATAACTCTTCTCTACTAAATGACATTGCTACTTGAGGAACGCTTTTTTTTTGTTCACTGATTTTCTCTTTTCCAATACTTTTTTTATTTCCTTTTTCTTTTCTTAATGAATCGGTATTCCTTCCAATTGGATTTCGTTGTTTATTTTTTAGTTGTTTAGCGGACTGACCAAGACAATAAATTACAAAGAAGACAAATATGATGCTTCTCATTAACTAATTTTTAGTTCTTTTTTATTTTTTTATTTTTTAATATAACAAATAAATGAAATATAATTTAAATTATTTAATTAAATTGAAATAAATAGAAATATTATTTATTGTCTCTTTGAATAATACAACTTCACATAAATAATTTAATTGTCATGCTTGATTCATAACACTTTAGTCAAAAAGTAATTCGATTTCATTTGTTTATAATTTGATTTATCTTGTTAAGGTTTGTATCAACGTCTGATTATTATAGATATGAAGTAAATTTAAAAGATAAAGTATGTTCACAAAGAAGTTTTAGAATATGTAGAATTTCTTTATAATTTATTTCAAATCACTTGGTATTTATGTTATGTAGTTTTTCTTATTTTGAATTTCTTTAAATTGGTATAAATAAAAACAAATGAATTCTTTCCTATATTATTGTTTATCGTTTATTCATTTAAATTGATTGTTCAACTCTTTCTTTATTTTCAAATCCATAATTCAAGTATTACAATAATATTGAATATTGTAAATAAAATAATTATTTTTTTTCAATCTCTTTTATTTCATCTATCTTTGTTTCTTTTCTTGTTAATAATTATATTTTATTTATTTGAAGAATCACATATTTTTTAATCTTTAATAGGTCTCATATTCTCAGTGTTGATCATTGGATATAATATGATTTATTTTGTGGTATATTCATTGAGATTGTATTTTATCAATTCATTCACTTTTTTTATCTTATTTTTATTTTGTTATTTAAATCAAAAAAAAACTATTTTTATAAAATAGAACAAAAACAAATTGGTCAAGAAGTATTATATCTTATTTACATAACGATATAATATCAAACAAAAATAGTAAAAGTATTAACAGAATGTATAAAATAAATAAATTATGAAATATATAAATACTTAAAACTGAATTACGTTAAAAAGGTATCACTTTCAATATATATATCAATTTTAATATCAAAAAAATCTAAATAATAAAATAAAATATATGAAATTAAATTCTGATAAAATAAAAAGAAAATGGAGTTGAAAAGAACTATAAGGAAAATAGATATGAATATAATATAATAAAAAGAAAAAACAAAAATAGAAATAGAAATAAAAAGATATTATTAATAATATAAATATATAAATAGAATAAAAACAAAAAATAATAAAATAACTGTAATAACTGTTAAACACCTTTCAAATTCCATCTAATCTTATTTCCGTCTCCATTTTACTTCTTATACTGTAATTGTTGATAAAAGATATAATGATTCATAAAAATGAAACATGCCCAAAATATAAAAAAGTGATGTTTTGAAGAATTAACCAATTAGAAAAGAAGTATCACTTTTAAATAAATAACATATCTCTGAATTATCTGTATTTAAACTACAAAATAAACTTATTATTCATTAAATGTAAAAATTAATAGTATAATTATAGTTGAATGGACAATTCATTTCAAATAAACCAATGAATTCACAAGACAATTTGAAAACAGTAAGAGAGAAATTAAAAGATTTCTGGTTCTCAACAATTTCTATCAAAAGAAGGAGATTTAATTGATATAAATGATAAAGAGTGCTTTACTGTAGAAGATATAATTGATTCATCAAAAATAATAAATATCAAAAAAAAAAACAGTAGATAAAAAAGGAATAAAAATAAAATTAAATGATGAAATAATTAGCATTATTGAAATAGATAAAAAAAGAAAGTTAGATGATGTCAGAAAATTAAATCAAAATATTCCAGAATCTGCACATTTCTATACACATGATAATGATATAATTGAAAAAGAAGATGATGAAACATTTTTTTATTAGAAGATATATTAAATAATGATGAAAATAATCTTAAAAATGAGAAAGAAAATACATCAGAAAAGGATATATATTGTAATTGTTGGAATATGTTTGAATGGAAAACCATTAATAAAAAACAATTCAATAAGAACATTTCTCTTTCAGATGTCAGAAAGGAAATTGAAAATGTAGCAGATGTCCCAAAAGAATTTGTATTTGAAGAACAAGAAGGAATTAAAAATACTAATTGATAAAGAACAGTTATTAAATTTATCATCTATTCTGTATGACAACACAATCAATATAACAACAGAAATGTTTGATACTTCACTAAATGATATTCCAATTATATCTGAACCAAATATTCCAATTAATGGAAGTAAAAGATTGAAAAATTATGAAGAAGGAAAATTGAAAATATATTTGTGTCCAAATGAACCATTTAATCAAATAGAACGAGAAAGAAGCAATTGCCATTTTGGTTGTTGGTCAAATAGGAAGTGGTAAAACAACATTATTAAATAGTTTTGTAAATGCATTATATGGAACCAAGATAACAGATGATTTTAGATATATAATTATAAATGAAGATAATTTAGAACAAAATAGAGATCAATCTAAAAGTTAAACAAATAAAGTATCAATTTAGAAATTAAAAGAACAAAAAGAACACTGCTAATAAAAATAATAAATATACCTGGATTTGGAGATACAAGAGGAATTGCTTTTGACATAGAAATTACTAAACAAATAAAAGAAGTATTTGAAACAAAAGTATTTGTTTTAAATGCTATTTGTTTTGTTGCATAATCAAGTAATGTAAGATTAACAGCAAATCAAAAAATATATATTTGGGAAAATTATTGATTTATTTGGTGATGATGTGAAAAATAATTTTTTTGCAATGCTTACATTCTGTGATGGTAAAACACGACAAGCTATTAATGCATTACCGTCCACAGAATATTTTTCAGGATAATTATTCGATACATAGATGAACCATGGTATTTAAAACTTAATAATTCAGCTATTTATGATGACGATATTAAAGATGAATTTACACAAAGGTTTTTGGAATTAGGAATGAAGAGTTTTGATAACTTTATTGAAAAATTAATAAAATTACCAAGAAAATCATAAAACAATCTAGAGAATTTATGAAGAGAAGAAATTAGTCTCAAATTGAATGATTAAGAATATCATTAAATAATGGTTTGACAAAAAAGATGAGATAAAACAATATTGTGAATAGTTCTATTTGAATCATGATAAAGTTAATAATAATTAAATATTACATTTACTGTAAATGTAACTGTACAACAAATAGTTGACTTAGAACTGAGAAAATATGTAAATAATTGTTTAGATGTAATAGAATATGTCATTATCCTGTTACATTAAATGAAATATAAAAAACATTGTTATTGGGTTGGTGATAAGGAACGCTGTAATATATGTAGATATTATTATACACATCATGTAAAGTCGTCACACAGATATGACTTTATAACAGAAATAAAAGAAGAAATAGCAAAAGAGATACTTGAAAGATATAATGAAGGTAAAGAAAGTATGACTAATGCAGAAAATATATTATAAAATTTAGAAGAAGGATATATTAAAATCCAAATTGATTGTTATGATAAACAAGTAAAAAAATATAAATTGTATAAATAGATTATCATTAATTACATTAAATGATAAGTTGGTAGTTCTAATGAATATTTGGATATATTAATTAAATCAGAAAATGAAGAAAAAGTAGATATAAAGAACGAATTGAAGGATATAAATAACTAAAACAATCAAATGACAGATGGTATTATGAAAAAAATCAGTAACAAAAAAGAATAACGAAGAGATTAGGTCTGAACTTGAACAAAAAAGAATGACATAAAAGAAGGAGAAAAATCAACACTAGATAAAAATTGTCCATATTGTGTTATCTGCTAAAATCAAATAATTAAATAAAAGTTGTAATTAATTATTTTAGTCTACTTCATCAAGTGCCATCATTATAAATGAAATACATAATACCATTCATTATCTTATTTGTAATGTTGTCATTGTAGTTGTAAAGTGAGGTATTGGTTTCGTTTTAACTTTTTAACTGTTAATTTATGATCAAATCATCAATGGGTATCATAATGATATTACCTTCAACTTATTTACCCTTAAATTTCTCATTTTTCTTAAAGTGTTTTGTATTTATTAATTTGTGTAACCAGTTGAGATATATTGATATGTACAATAATTTTTTGTAAATTTTGATAAGAAAATAAAGAAATTAAAAGAAGAAAGAGTTATCTTAGTTTTGGAAGATTTAATTAATGAATGGATTAAATAGTACAATTGAACCTATTTATCAGTCATTTTAGAAAATAAAAATGTTCATTAAAATGAAATCAATTTTTCTTTACTTCTTTTCTGTGTCATTATCAAGAAGGGATGCTTTTTCTTCATTTGAAACAGATGGTTGTTTGGCAGCATCAAGATGAGAATAATCAAAGAATGGAGCAGCAATTCTAAGATATCCGTTGTAGATGAAAAGTCCTTCAAGAAGGAAGAAGAATCCTGCGAGTTGAAGATATGACCAATCATTCCAACTTTCTCCAAGTGGAGAATCATCAGCAACAAAGAGACCAATAATTAATTGAACAATCCAAATACATGCAGTTCTAAGACCTTCAAGAATAGTTCTAATAACAGCAGATGAAACAAGAGTGACAAACATACCAAACAAATTATATGCAAGAATGACAATAGAATAAATCAAACACATACAAAGAATAAATGGTGATTTAACTAACATATAGAATGTATCTGTAGTTGATTCATAAACTCCATTGCCTGCATTAGATGGAATAATATATTGTACAATAGTTAAACAAATACCTGAACAAATTAATCCTCCCCACATTCCTTCAAGACCAACAATAAGAATAGGATCAGTATTGGCATCTTTAAGAAGGAATTCTTCAATAACAATTTGTGATGCTTGAATAACTTGAGCAATAATAACTAAACAAATACCAATAATTTCAAGATAAATTTCTACACTTCCTTTTTCACTATAATCACCATAAACATCTTCTACAATAACTGGATCTTTTGTTGGTGCCATAAGACATGAGAATGCAACAACAACAAGTGCAAATGCTACAAATGCAACACCAACCCATTGATAAGCATAAACTTTTCTCTTTAAGAAAAATTTAGTAAAAATAGCAGAGAAAATAGTCATTGATCCTCTTAACATTTGCCAAATAGATGCAGGAATCCATAATAAACCAACATTAGATAAAGCAGTAGCACAAAGATCACAACAAGCTGGGATAGCAACAATTAAATAAGTTTTGAAATGAGATTGTCCTGGTTTTGTTTCATGTTCTTCTTCAGTTTTCTTTCCAAAGAATTTTTGGAATAAATGTTTTCCTTCAAATACAAATAAACATCCAAACATACCTATGAACATCATTTCAGTTTGGAACCATGGTTTTTCAAATGAATGAACATCTCCATTTAATCCTTCTCCTTCAATTGAGAAAATCATTTTTTGGAATACAACAGTGCATGTCCCAAAAAGGAGCATACCTGCAATAACAATGGCTTTAGCTAAGAGTGATGCCATACTTTTTACAAATTGAGATTTCTTAGTTATAAAATCTACTTTATTCTAACGAACGTTCCTTTGTGTTCGATTTATGTCTTGAAGAACATTAATGTTCTATTCTAATAGCTCTTTTTATTAGTTTTACTATATTAGATGAATAGGTTTTCTGCGTGAAATAACTTACTATTTTTATTGGAAATTCTTTTTACTATTTTTTTATTAGAATTTACTAGAATTTCTTTCATTCAAAAAGAAATACCAAGAATCTTCTTTTCGTTCTTCCTTTTCAAACTTTCAATCTAAATTAATCTCTTCTTCAATTTCTCAAACTCTAGATTCTTCTCCTTTATATTCTTAGAATCCTTGAATCATCTAAAAAAATTATTAAAAGATCCAATCATAAAATTGAATAATATCTTTTATCTAATACTTTTTCCTTTTTTTTTTTAATAATAGAAAAATCAATTTGAATATTACAGTTTCCTTGTTAGTGATTTGTTAAAAAAAATACCGATCAGTGTTTTTCTGTAATTAAACTTAATTCTTCAATAGCCCAATTCTATTTATTTGAATATTCACATTTTCATCAAATTTAAAATCTCTATTAAACTATAATCCATCTGTAATAAAATTCCTTGCTCTTAACTTAAAACAATTAAAAAAATGAAAAATAAATTTAACCCACATTCGTGTTGTTTAGAGAAAAAAACAACAACCGATTTTTGTTGATTGGTATACCATTAAATTTTTTTTTGAAATTTAGCCGTTTTTATGAAATGAAGTATTCGTTAAAGCTATTTTCTTTCTGATTATTTTAATAGAGTTCTAGTTAGAGTTTGTAATTATTGATAAGATATAACGTTTAGTAATACTAATATCATTTTGTTAAATTACGTCATATTTACAAAAGACGTAAATGAATATTTTTTTCAGTACTCTTATTTTATGATAACAGAACTTATCAAACACTTTAAATTACTGGAAGGTTTAATCCATTGAAGAAAGTAAAAAAGATTAAAACAAATAATATGAAAAATATATTATTATTTGATAGTAAAAATAAAAAATAGTAATTACAATTTAAAAATGAACTAAGACGAATATATTTTATTAATAAATTTCATCTCCCGTACTTAAAATTAATACCGTTAAAAAATTAAATAAATACTGTGTGTAATAATTTTTTTTATATAGTAAACATAATATTTGTTAAGATAAAAATTTATTATTGAGTACTTTCTAGTGAATATTTAAAAACTAATACTATAGAATAAATTATTTTGTTTTCTGATTTGACAATCCACAGATTATGTGAGTTGATAGTTTTATTTGAGACTTACATAAAACATTGAAAATGAGAAGAATTGAAAAAATTTTGAGATTAATTTTTTAGAACATAAAAAGAGGAAATTTAATTAAAGTTATTATCATTTCTCATTGGAGAAAAGTAGAACTCATTCTTCAATGGATTGGTTGAAATCATATTTCTTTTTTTGTTTTACTTCATCCTAAAAAAAAAAATTTGAATAAATTTGAATTAAGAATGAGAAATTATTTTTTTTTCAGTTTCAATTAATGCAAACTACTACTAATCAACTAAACGATACTCAAAATTTAAATACATACCAATACAATTATCAACAACCTGTATATTCTCCAAACACTCCTGTATGTGCACAAAATGAATATGGAGTTCAACCAGTTTTTCGTGAAGAAACAAATTCAACTTCAGTGTCAAGTCAACCAAGAGGTTATACACAAAGAAAGCATTATTCCAATAATGAGCGAAATGTTGTTATTTGTTTCTTTTTAGGATTTATTTTATTTATTCCATTTTTAGTAGCATACATTATTGGTAAGAAATCAAAAAGTAAAGGAATTAAATTATTAGCAACTATCTCATTCCTTTGTTTTGCTGTTTATTTCTTTGCTTTAATAGGAGTTATAACTGTGACATTAATTCTTTTAAATTAATTAAAACAAATATAATATACAACTTTTTTTATAAAATTCAATTCATTATTAAGTCTTTTTATTTTGATTTTATATACCTTTGTACTTCCCATTCATTTTTAAAGAACTGAATATCTTCACATTCTATGCTTTCAATTCTCTCTTGTAAAATATTTATTGTTTCATTAGAGTATATCGTTACCTTTTTACATTTATTAAGAATTATTTTTTGTTTCTTTGGATTAAAATATTTTAATTCAACTGTTTTTGCTTTAGTAATTTCAAGTACTTCTAATATTTCAGAGTTCATTTCTATAACAACTATTTGAATGTTTAATATTAAAAGATTTTTTGTTACTTTTGGAAGTACACTAAGCATATCAAATGAACTACCAAAATTACCATCAATTTCTACTTTTTCTATAATGATTTGAAGTTCAGGGTATTCTAGTAATTTACGAATGGTACCATTTTTTAATATTAAATTTTGAATGAATACAATGTTTGGATTTAATTTGTGATTTGTATTACATGTTTTCGATTTAATTTTATTCTCAATTAATAACAATGAAATTTCACTATTTTCTATTGTTATATCATTAATTGATTCTTTATCTAAATAAATGTATTGATAAATACTATTTATTATAATAATTCTTGATGTGTTCATTAGTACTAATCCAGAATTTCCTTTTAAAGTATCATTACTACAATTAATCATTGTAAATTCTGAAATATGGCTTTGACTTAAATCAAAGGTAGAGTCAATAACATTATCTAGTTTAAGACTGATACATTCTTTTGTACTCAATGAACAAATTTTTTCATCTCCATTTTGAATAACTAATTGATATTGATCATCATTTAATTTAATATTCTTTGTTTTATTTAATTCTATAATTTCTTCTTCTTCTTTAAATTCAATTTTTGTATTATCATTAAATTTTGGAAGTTCTACCATTTCATTTAAACAACAAATTACTCTTTCTACTTTATTTATTTTTCCTTTAAAATCAGAATGAAAACATCTAATAACTTTTATTATTTTTGTTTCTGAACCTTTTAATTCACAAATACTATTATTAATATTAATAAAGCATATTACACTCTGTTTATTTAATACAAAATTAAATGTACATTCATCACATGTATTTGCATTAACTAAATTACAATTATTATTTTTTAAATTAATTTCACAATTTATACATGAAATAATATTATAATTTGTTAATATTATATTTTCGTTTTTATTTCCTTTAATGATAATATCATTACATTGTTTTAGTATAACATCTTTAAAAGAATTTCTTTTAAATTCTAATTTAATTTTTTGACATCTAATAATTTCAAGAACTTCTCCATAAAAATTAGTTTCATTAGTGAACAATATTTCTGATGAATTTTTTAATACTTCTATTAGAATATTTTGTTTTTCTATATTAAATAAACACCTTTGACAATTATTAAGATTTAATGAGATTATTTGATTTTCTTTCTTTACATTTCCACTTATTTCTATTGAAAGTGAATTATTAATTGTAACTCTTTCTAAAAGACTTTGAATTAAATTTAATTTAATATTTTCACTATCTTCTATCATTATTTCTTTTATTCTAATGAGACATTCAGGATTAATTGATATTTCTTTATTTCCTAGAAATTTTTTAATATTTAATTGACTTGTAATAATTTTTAAATTACATTCTTTATTTTGAATAAGTTCAGTATCAATAATACTTCCTTCTATTCCGTTACATTCAAAAGATGTTTTATTACATTGACTCATATTAAAATTTTTTAAATTATTTAATGATAAGATGAATGAACAATTATCACATTGCCTTAAAACTAATTCTTTAATATTAGGAAAGCAATTGTTAAATTTCATTTTGGAAATGTTACTAATTGAAACTTTTTGTGCTAAACAATCAAATGATAACATATGAGAAATATTTGTTATTTCTAAATATTCTTGAATAGTAAAAAATGTTTTAGATGCCATAGAAGAGTTATCAACAACAAATTTATCAATACAAGTTTTTGTGTTTTGAAAAATTACAAAAGAATAACTAGTCACTTCGACACTTTTATATTGTGGGTTTGTATTAAAAATTGATATACCTTGACAATTATTTATCTTTAATGTTATTTTATTTTCTTCTTTTTGATTTACTGAAAGAACAATCTTTTCACAACAATCAAAAGAAAGAATTGCTGACAATTTTATTAAAAGATCATACCAACAGGAGTGACTTGATGAGACAATTACTTTTTTTAATTGATTTTCTAATAAGTTAAATGTACACTCATTACATTGAATAACTTTTAATGATTCTAATGAATTTAAATTATTACAATTAATATTATTACAATTAAGAACTTTCATTTTCTTTAATGATTTAAATTCTGGGATGTTAATACCTGATATGTCTTTAATAAATATATTAGTAAGTGATGGTAAAAATGTATTAATAATAGGAGATGGATCATATAGAGTATATTTTTCTTGAGTAACATCATCTAAAAAATAAATGGTTTCTTCTGCAGATCTTGTTGAATTAAAGAAGTGTTTTCTGTTCTTAAATTTCAACTCTGATAAATAAATCCAATTAGAATGGATGACTGGGTGTTCATAATTTTTAAATTCGATACAATGAACATTGTCCATATTAAAAATAGTCTCTTCACTTCCATTATGCAAAACAATTGTTTGAACACAATTTGGTAATATCCAGTTTTTAACAGACATACAACTCTTTGTTTCTTCTTCTTTTTCGAGAGTATTAAAATTTAATTTTATAATGCCACAATCGTTTATTATTTGATTAACTTTTTTACCTCTTTTGTTTGTACTGAAATCGTCATTATAAAAATAGAAGTTATGAGGAATACATATTTGTGCTTTAATGTTTTCTATATCATTAAAAGGTCCGTTTGTAACTTCTACAATATCAAAGGGAACATTTTTGATTGATTCCCATCTTTTTAGTTCTCTTATTTTGAGTATCACTTTACTATTATATTGTGACTTGATGTTAAATATTGGTTGAAGTGTTTCTTCATTGAGTTCTAAATCTACAGAACTTACAAGAAGAACATATACAACTGATGGAAATTTATTCTTTTTGATATTAAGAAATTGAAACAAATGAACAAACATTTGAAGGAAACTAAGACTTCCTTCAATACTTTTTAAATGGAAATCAAATAACAAAAATTTTTGAAGAAAAGAATTATCACATTCTCTTAATGAAACAATTCTGGGAAATAACTCGTTAAATATATCTGTTTCATTCTTATTACTAACCATGTTCTTTTCTAATATTTGTGTAACAATACCTGAAGAAAGTTTCTCAATAAAGTCAACTTTTTTAAAAAGTTCTGGACAAAACATTAAACCGTCTGCAGATATAACTTTTACATTATTCTTTTTTATAAATGAACTAACACTATGAAGGTTATTAAGTGGAGGACATCTTTTCATTAAACATACTATTTGTTCACATCTTTTACTTACGCACTCAAAAAGCATCATTACAGACATATCGCTAATATACGTAGCTACTTCAGACAGACAAACCGTTTCAAGTAACACCATTTTCTAAATCCTTTATTGTTAGATTTATCAGTTCATTAATTTTAAGAAAAAGTAATTTTTATTTTTTTATTTTTTATTTCATCAAGGTTAATTACCATTCCTTTAATGTTAGAATATCAGACATATATTATCAAATCATCAAAGATAAAAATGATATATTAATGATGTTGCCATATGTCAAGATAGAAATATCGAATTAAATTATATTTACAAAATAAATAAATACAAAGAACTACAAGAGAAATTAATACAAAGTAGAGAACTAATTTATGTAGAAATAGTATATGTAATATTGACAATAAATTAATACATAAAGAATTAGTAAGAAGATTGAAAACACTAAAATTACAATTCGGATTCAACAAAATACTATAAACAACTAACATTAAAAACATGAAATACTTAATGTTCTACACATTCAACACTGGCAACACATTAGAAGGAAAATATTCTAATTCTCATATTTTTGAAATGAACTCTAAGAGAGAAGTAGGGCATATTGAAATCACTGAAATAGTCACTTCTCAATAATCATAAAATCCAATTGTGGATATATCTTATTTGATATTTTTTTATTCATTAAGTCAAATACATTTCATTTATATTATTTTTTAAATAACATTATTAATTTAATAAGTATTGTTATTTGTTTCAAATTAAATTATTTTCATTTTTTGTTTTTTTGAAAAAAAAAAAAAAAGAAATAAAAAAATAATTTGAATACTAATCACAATCAATGGAACCAAATACTTGTTTGTTCATCATTTACTCCTTTTATACAACAAACTAACATATAGCCAAAGAAATTACCAGTAGTAGTTTTGTAATCCATCAAGAAAATGAACGTAAAAGTTTTAGTAAATCACAAAATTCATTAAAAGGTTTAATTGAACCAGATGAAAGTGAAGACATTGATGTTGACATTGACCATGATGATATTGAACAAGATAAAAGCAATATAACACCTCCACTTACGCCACCAATTGAAAAAAAAGTTATGTTTAGTGTAACTCAAGCCCCTTCAATAACTGAACGTGAAGAAAGACTAAACTCAATTAGATCTAAACAAGACGTGTTATGTGTTAATAGTGTGATGGATGAATTAAAAGATAAGGGAAATGACTTTGATAATTCTACAACTGACACAACAATGGACTGTGTACCTACACCATACAAAACAATTGAAAATATAAAAAATGAAGAAGTATTTTCAAAACCTATTGAGGCATCAGTAAATTCATCTGCACATGAGTCTCAAAGAATGAATGAAGAGAACAGACTTGACTCATCAAAGACAGAAGCAGAAATTAAAGTAAGTTTTGAACAAACAGCTGAAACAAAAAATGATAATATGGAATTAGAAGATCTTGTTGCTCAAGCAGATAATAAGAAAGTTTTGGAAATGAATAGTGACGTTCCAAGTGATGCTGCAACAGAAGCAGGTTATTCTTTAAATGAAGAATCAAAAAGTGAAAAGAAAGAGGATAATGATCATTCATTTGAAGAACAAAAAGAAGAACTAAGGAGAATGTCAATTGAAATTGATAACCATCAATTGCACGAAGAATTTGAAACACCTCAAAATAATGAACCGATAGACTTCAAACAAATAAAAGAAGTTATGGGGAATTACACTACTAATGATATAAAATTAGCAAGTCAAATCATTGAT